GGGCTCCCAGTCAAAAAGGTGGAGTAGGCAAATGTTGTGCTTTCGTCCTCCCACAGCCACATCAAAGTTCCAGCTAAAACACAGAGCCATCATTGGCAACCCCCTAAGCCCGGCTGACAGAGTCTTATAACTCAGGATACCAGAGGAAGCCCTGTTGAGACTGGAGACACCAAGTGGGCTGGTCACCCACTCAAACATGGCAGTTAAAAATATCTGTGCGGAAGTCACCCTGGGGACTCCCAGCCCCACAAAAGAACCCCAGCCCAGGGTCCCAGCGGCAGGAAGAGAATCCCATTACTTCTGGCTGGTAAAAACCAGTGAGGATCGCCCTGCAGGTATGGCTCAATGGTTGAGCATGGGGGAGGGGGGGTCACAGTTCAGTTCCCAGTAAGAGCACATGCCTGGGTTGTGGGCACATGCCTGGGGAAGCAGGAGGCAGCCGATCAATGATTCTCTCTCATCATTGATGCTTCTAGCTCCCTCTCCCTCCCTCTCTGAAATCAATAAAAATACATTAAAAACAAAAAACCCAGTGGCAACTGTAGCTGAGACAGAGGGCATTCCTCTTAAAGGGACTGCTCTGACTTTTTCGGACTAATTCCCTCTGAGCTCCAGCACTGGGGTAGCAGCTGGAAAGGTACCAGGGACATGTGAGAGGAACTGAATTGTCTGGCTTTAGGGCAAGGGCTGGAGGGCAGCTTTCTCCCAGTCAGAAGTGCTGGCATTGGCCACTGTTCCTTTTAGGAGCCCTCCCCCAGCCCAGCCCACAGACTGGCCGTATCTGAGCCTCCATCAGCCTCATGACCCTGGCTGCCCTGCCCTGGTCATTCCCTGAGACCACACCCCACCCGCTCTCAGACACACCCAAGCCGCTTCCAGAGGCTCTTCCATACAAATGGTCTTGGCTCATGGTGAGAACTTTCCTAAAATCTCTCCAAGGTCCACAAACCCCAAAGGAGCGGCATTGAGTCTCCAGGTGCCCCTATCTCTCTCTAAGCAGCCACAAGCCCAACACTAGTGGCAGCCGGCCTCTCCCAGGCAGCTTATCCAGGCCCCGCACAGGGGCCGGGGCAGGGACAGGCAGCAGCTGACCTTGACCGCATCAGAGCCCCTCCCGAGAAGCTCCAGAACCAACACACCCAAAGGCCTGCATCAGACCCACCAGAACATCACCCAACCTCCTCCACGAGTGACACACCCAAAGGGTAGGCTCAGCAGGCAACCAAGGAGCACTAAAACGAATACTGCGCCATAGGGTTCCCCTATCAACTGCTCCTCCAACGTAGTGAGGGTCAACCCCTCTCTGCCATACCAAAGCAATCAATAAAGGCTCAGCTACTGCGGGAGGGCTCACACTCCAGACCAGGGGGACTGCACTGGGCCCCATGGACACTCACTGCCGAAGGCCCCTCTACGAGACGGGGAGATCGGACACCCTACCTAATCCACAGAAACAAATGCAGGGAGGCAAACAAAATGAGGAGATAAACATGTCCCAGCTGAAAGAACAAAGCTCTAGAAGAAAAGACAAAAAAAAAAGGCTAAACAAAATGGAGACAAGCAATCTACCAGATGTAGAGTTCAAAACACAGGTTATAAAGATGACCTGTGTTCTCAGTGAAGACTTCACGGAGATCGGAAACATAAAAATGGAGATGGAAAACATAAAAAAGAACCAGTTCAGAAATGAAACTATAATAACTGAAATAAAGAATAAAGTAGATTAGATAAAGTACTTGATCAAATCAGTGATTTGGAAGATAAGGTAGCAGAAAACATCCAATCAAAACAGCAAAGCCCAGTCAGTGTGGCTCAGCAGTTGAGCATCACCCCATGAACCAAGAGGTCATCGGTCAAGGCACATATCTGCCGACAGAACCTTAAAAGAGACGGCCACTCATGGAAGCATACCTTAGATGGCAGTAGGGGCATGTGTGATCTCAAGGGTTGGGCAGATCGGGAATGATTTCCAGAGGAAGTGATGCTCTGAGCAGAGACTTAAGTATAAAAAGAAGGCACCTGGGGGAAGAGCCAGAGAACAGCATTCCAGAAAAGAAAGAACAGCATCTGCCAAGTAAAACTCTAATTCTCAGATGGTCAATATAAAAACCGGGAGCAGAAAACAGCAAAATGTTCATGCTTTCTAATCTACTCCTTCTTTAATAAGAAATTGGTTTACTTTTCTACTGTCACCAAATTTTTCTGACTATACAAAAACTGTCCAGATATATTTACTAAGACACTTTTTAAAATATTACTGATAAGCAAAATTGAATGGTTAGCATTTCCCATATATATATATATTTTTAACTTTCAACACAACTTTAACCCTGAAGACTCTTGAGGAAGATTTTTCTATTTTTTTCCCCCCAGATGAAGAGATTTTTGCTCAGAGGAGACCATAAAGTATGCTTTCTAAACTGTCCTCTCTCTTGTTTATTATGGAACAGTAAGGAATGAGTAATTCACTCCTTTCCCAGCAGTATTTCAACATTCTACCCCACTTAATTCTACCGGACAAGCGGTACAACACAAAGGTGTGACTTTACACATTCGAGCTGGAAAGAAAAGTTGTTTTTTAAAAAGCACCAGGGACTCCTAGATCTTGTTATAATGATTAATCCCAAAAGTGACTACGTAAGCACACAAGGATCCAAATTAGTTACGAAAGGTTAACTTTGAAATGGAAATTACAACTAAGTTATACAGCTATGAATTAACTTTCATTAACTAGTTCATGTCCCTTTTAATACATATGGGTAAAAAATCATTTATTTTCCAAGATTTAATACATAAAACTTAACTTACTCCTAAGTTCACCATATGACTGTGTCAAAATATAACCTTCTGAAGTTTCTAACAGAAGTCAAGACTTTACACACTTGTATTAGCCTTTCCCTGTGTTTGTGAAGTAAGGCTGGACTGGTCTCAGAGTGACACAACTGAATTCAGCAGAGGAGGGAAAGATTAGATTCAAAGAACAGATAATCCTTTTAAAACATGCAGTTACTATTTAACTTTCTTGGGTAGTGAAGAATTGACCAATTCAAGTTTTTCTCTTCAAAGATAATTCCTTTCTATTCTGAGTATACCAGAAAAGATTTTTAAAAATTATGATTGTTTGAAGGTAAATGCATCTTCAAGAAAACATGTAAGCGTAATACACAAGAAAATGGTATGGAAGAGAGCCAAAGCCATTCTCTGGTGAATCTAAAGGGAAACCCAGCTCTACCTGGCATCTCCAGATATTGAATTTATTTGTCATCACTTAAAGCCGGAGCCTGAGCACTAGATGAGTCTTAAATGTTAAGAACATTAGCTGTTATTAGTTATTGAAAGAATGTTCCCACCTCCCGATTCAAGGGAAGGGAAAAGCCCAAACCAGTCAGATGTTGCTAAGGGCAGCGTGTGGGTAGTGGGCGGAAGGGAAGCCACGGGAACAACTTTCCTCTCCAGGAACAAGGGACAAATTCTCTTGGTTTGATGGAAGAATCACCAGAAAATAGGAAAACCAGAAAACTGAGGCAGGGTCACTTCTTTGCGCTTCCTTTAAAAAATAAAATTTTTTTAAATGGAAGGGTTTGTCACCACAGGCACATGGAAATGAGTCCCCTGTGCAATAGTGATTAGGAAGGAACTGGAATGTGCCCTCACAGTGGTGTCCAGATAAGCAAGGAGGAAGTGCTGATGCACGCTTTAAGCAGGCTTGTATTTAATGGGAGCACGCCCAAGTCAAGTTTAATACAAGAACCACACCACCTCTTTCAGCGTGGTGGAAAAACTAAGTTCAGCTGTACCCACCAAGTAAAATCCCCACTGTGTGCACCTGAGCTAGCTGCTAAGCCGGGCCCCCGCTTAAAGGACAGACCTGGTGGCATGATCAGCAGGTCAGCGCCAGCAATGCCCCAACACTGACCGCCCCGAGCTGCAGCCACCCAGCTCTGAAGGCTGCAGGATGGATGTCACCTACGACCGTGTCACCTCTAATTTCCAAAATGTGTGGCAACAAACCTCAAAATCAAATTTCCTTAGAAATCCTTGGCTTGGGTTCAGTTTTGTTTTTAAAAGGCCAACACAAATGATACATGTTTTAAAAGGTGGCAAGTCCTGTCACATCCGGTAACACCAAGGAAGAGCACAGACACCAGTCTTTTAACAAAAAGGTAATTGTCTCAGGGCCGGCAGGCAAGCAGGTTCCTGGGAGAGGAATCTCCATTAAAACATAGGTGGATTCTGAGCGCACACTGAATGACATCAGACAGCCTGATCTTTCAAAGGGATTTCAAATGTCTCACCCCTTTCCGAAGTTATCCCACAGACACTCAACCTCCACAAAACTAACCCAACGGAAACTTGGGAGATTTCAAACCTAAATATGCAAGAGGGTTAAAGGTGCTGATGTTTATAAGGGTGCTGATGGGTATAAGGGTGCTGATGTTTACAAAGGGTAAGGGTGCAGGACAAAAACCACTTGCAAAAGCCAAGCCGCCCCTCGCACCACGTGACTAGCTCCGGGCGGGTCCCCAGCTCCGGTCCCGGCGGCGGGATCCCGGCTCTTCCCTCCTTCGGTCCGGAACTAAGAGCCCCGGGACAGGGGCGGGGAGGGCGCCCCCTGCAGCCGCAGGCGGCGAAGAGGGGCCGCCGACCCCACGTACCAGCCCCGAACCGGCCCCGAACCGGCCCTGGCGAGCGGGCCCCGCGGAGGCGGCCGCTGGCCCAGCCCCAGTCCCGGCTCCGCGGCCCCGGCCGGGCCTCCCTCCGGCGAACGCCCCGCCGACAAGTCCCTCCCGCTCCGCGTCTCCTCACACCGGAAAGCAAACCGCGAACGGGAGGCACGCACGGAGGCGCGGCGGGAGGGAGCGCGGGGCATGCGGGTGCGGGGCCCCCCCCCCCCCCGAGTCCCGCCCGCGCCCCGCGGTCCCCGAAGGCCTCGGCCCGCCGCCCCCACTCCCCGCGCCCGGCCCGGCCCGGCCCGGCCCCCGCGCCGGGCGGCGCCTCACCTTGGCGGCCATGGCGGCGGCGCTGCGGGCGGCTGCGGCTGCGGCTGCGGCTGCGGCTCGGCCCGGCTGGGCGCTGGGCGACTCGGCCGCCGCCGCTCCGGGCTCCTCACTCCGCTGCGGCGCCGCCCCCGCGGCCGCCTCCCGTGGGCTGTGCGGCCGGCGGAAGCGCCCGGGGCCGGGGCCCGGCCTCCTGCCCACGGTCCGCCCCCGGGAGCCTCCGCCCCGGCGGCGCTCTGTGCCCGCCGCCCCGCCCGCCCGGAGGCCTCGGGGGAGCGCCCGCCGCCCGCCTCAGGGGGAGCGCCCGGCCCGAGGCCTCAGGGGGAGCGCCCGGCCCGAGGCCTCGGGGGAGCGCCCGCCGCCCGCCTCAGGGGGAGCGCCCGCCTCAGGCCTCAGGGGGAGCGCCCGGCCCGAGGCCTCAGGGGGAGCGCCCGGCCCGAGGCCTCGGGGGAGCGCCCGCCGCCCGCCTCAGGGGGAGCGCCCGCCGCCCGCCTCAGGGGGAGCGCCCGTCCCGAGGCCTCAGGGGGAGCGCCCGGAGGCGGCGGCGGGGGGCGGCGGTGCCGGGGCGGCGGGGAGCGCGGGCCCGGGCGGCGGGGACTCGGGCGGTGGGGCCGGGGCGGCGGGGACTCGGGGCCGGGGCGGCGAGAACTCGGGGCGGCGGGGACCCGGGGCCCGGGGCGCGGGGCTCGGGCGGCGGGGCGCGGGGCCGGGCGCCCTGGGCTGCCGAAGGGCGTGCGGCTCCACAGCCGGCGAGCGGAGCAATGGCTTCCCGGTCCGAGCGGCCCTTCCCGAAGGTTCCGCCGGGGTCGGGCGGGCCGGGCGGCGCTGGGCTCGGCCCCGGACCTCCTTCGGGACTGTGACCCGAGTGCAGCCCCGCAGCTCGGCCCAGCGGGCAGGGAGGCCCGGGGTGTCCATATTGTTTGTCAGAACTGCCCTCAGCGGCCCCGGTTTGTTAATGATCCACGGCCGAGCCCGAGCGGCCGCTTCCACTCGGGAGCCAGGCACGCGCCCCAAGACACGGGGGTGCCTCACCCTGTGCCCCGGAGCGACCCCTGGGTGTGCGGGACCCCTTGGTTGTGTGTGATCCCCCCGGGATGTGTGTGATCCCCCGGGATGTGCGGTGCAGAGGCAACTGTCAAGCCAAGCACCTTGATTGGGCGAGGAAAGCAGTATTTACAGTGAATGTCAAGTCTGTGTGCCTGTGAAATAGTCAACTTACCCTCCAGAGACTTCACGAGTAATGTTCAACAGTGGAGTTTAAAAGAAGCGCATTTTAAATGCCCAGAGTTTTCTGTGCATTCTTACGTTCACTGAGTTCATGTCCACGGCCATCACGATGTTCATGACAGTGGTCTACGCAAAAGGAGGGTTACATTCACCCACAGCCGCTCACCGTGTCCGGCTTTCACATCCCTTCATCTTCACCCTCACAGGAAACCTCGGAGAAAGTCATGATAGGCCGCTGTGTACAGCCCTAAAGAATCCAAGGCTTCCTTACAAAATTGAACACGACCTTAACCTTGGACCTAGCAGCTCCTCTTCTAGGAATTTATCCTGCTGCCTCCAGATGTGCAGGAGTGGGCAAAGCTGTTCAGTAAAGTGTTGTTCTGTGACAGCCCCAAACAGAAAGTAACCTATTGTTTGTTAACAGGACTGTTTCACTAAACATGCTGTATCCATACAAAGGAAGTTCTAGGAAGCCCACAAGAGAGTGGTAATGTTTTTAAGAGGTACTAATAAAGGTAAAAAGAACTTTATGTGTAGCACAATCTATTTGTGCAAAAAATGGAAAATACTTTGTGTATGCCTAGAATTTTTCTGAAGGTTCATCAGATGCTATTGTCAGAATGTTTTGAAATGTATTTATTACTTTATTTTAAAAATGAGTTTACATTCTACCAAATATCTTGACTAAGAAGAACACACATGCTGAAACAGGTTTGGCTCAGTGGATAGAGCATCCGCCTGCCGACTCAAGGGTCTCAGGTTTAATTCCGGTCAAGGGCATGTACCTTGGTTGTGGGCACATCCCCTGTGGGGGTTGTGCAGGAGGTGGCTGATCGATGTTTCTCTCTCATCAATGTTTCTACCTCTTTATCCCTCTCCCTTCCTCTCTGTAAAAAATCAATAAAATATATTTTTTTAAAAAGAGCACTCACAAGTATTTGGAAAAGCTAAGATTTGAACTCGGGTTAATACTATAGAGTTTTCCATATTCTTTTCGATTTGAAAGCTGGGTATAGCTCCCTGCCCCAGTTGAACAATGCCCGTTTTGATAGGAAGGCACAAAGTCAGGGTCACTCCTGTGACACCCTCAGTTGATGTGTTCCCACAACCAATTCTGGGCACCTGGCACCAAGGAAGCAAGACCAGAATTCAAGCTTTTCCTATTTGGACAATTCCTATAGTCATGGTTTCATTTTTATAAGTAACCATGGAGACACCAAACTCATCATGACCAGTACAAATCAGTTAAACGCTAAAGAAAACGTGAAATCACTTGGTATTGTTGAGGATGAAACACTATGGCATGGTTTTACAGAGCTTAGAAGTCCAGCCACTAATGGAACCCTTAGATGAGTCTGAGTCCAGCTCCCTCTAATATCACACTGGTTGGCATTTGTCATGAATGTAATTACCAAGTACATGCCAATCCCCTGATTTATAGTGTAGAAACGACCAGGGTAGTTAAATGACTTATCCAGGCCACAAAGTAGGCCAGAGTAGGAACAAGAGCCTACTTATCATGGGTTTCCAAAACATGTCACTTTTGAACTAAAAATATTTTAGGTAAGATGTTTGAAGGGACTAGTGTGAAGGGCAAGACAGTCACTGCTAAAAAAAAAAAAAAAAAAAAAACTGGGCAAGAACTCCTGTCCCAAACCTCGTGAGAGCCACCACCTACATGGAAGAACAGAAGCATGACACCCTTTGACCTCATCCATGAAGCCCGGCCACCCCGTCGAACTGGCTTCTCCCAAGCTAGGAAGTAGACCTCCCTCAAGGTCATCCTGAAAAGTCCTGGGCAAACTTGGAAGTAGGCGGTCTTCTGCTTCCAGTTGATCACCATTCACACCTCTCTGTTCCCTCCCTTCCACCTCCTTCCTTTTCCCCAGCTTCCCCAGAGGTGGTGCCTTATGTGGGCTCCCTCAGAACCCAGATCCCTGGCATTGAACTTGGGACACATGCAAAGTTCAGTTATTTCCTCTCCATACAGCCCGAGTTTCCATTACTCCCATTGGTGAGAACACAATTGCTAAGTAAAGAAATTGATTTGCATTCGCAGGCAGCTTTTGATTGAACGTTAGCAAGAAAAAGGTGTGGCTGGAGCAGAGCTATTCCCTTTTATTAAGGTCTTTTTATCAGGCCAGGGAGAGGGAGCAATAAGGATTCCTGGGAAGCCTGTGCTAGAGATTCATCTAACCCTTGCCCTGAGTTTGTCCAGTAACACGTGTTATGACTATAAATCTAAGAAGTTAGAGCACTTTTATTTTTATTGCAGAAATTAATTACTTCATCATTGTAATTCAGAAACTAGCTTCAAAATCACTTTTTCACATTGAAATGATAGTTTTTTTGTTTTGTTTTTTAAAAATCACCTTTTTTAAACACTTGAATTTTCTTAGATACAGCTACAGTGGCTCAGCAACATACAAATACAGCCCCATCCCTTCTCCTTTCTCTTTTCCCCTCCTTTAAAAAAAAAAAAAAAAAAATATATATATATATATATATATATATATTTTGTTGTTGTTGTTGTTGTTGTTAATTTCAAAGAAGGGAGAGAGAGAGATGGAAACATCAATGATGAAACAGACTCATTGATTGGCTGTCCCTCAGGCCCCCTACTGGGGATGGAGCCTGCAACCTGAGCATGCGCCCTGACAGGGAATTGAACCTTGACCTCCTGATTCATGGGTCAACACTGGCAGGCCGGCTCCCTCCTTTCTTCCTTAGGAGCACAGACTTTGCTATCAACAGGGCTGAATTGTTAGTTACAACCCATATCACCTTAGGTACATTACTTCATCCTCAGTTTCCTGACTGCAAAATGGGGTTATTAATAATACCTGTCTCATAGGTTTCTTGTGTGATAATAAGCTCAAAGGACATAGCATGACGTTTTGTATCGATACATAATAAACAGTAAATGTTAGTCATCATTCTGGTTTCTTTGTCTAGTCAAAATTAGATTGTCCTTATGTTCCAATAGCTCACATCCCTACTGAGTGCTAGGTCAACTAATGTGAAACTACTGTGGGGAAATGGAACTATGGAAAATAATGTGAAATGGGATGAAAACGTGTGATGGTCGCCCACTATACATGTTGGGGAACGGGAAATGTGGAGAATAATACAGACCCCTAGGTGTGGAACAAGAGTATATTTTCTCTCACTTTTTGAGTTAAATGAGGTTAAGGTGAGCCTCGGGGTGATGAAAATAAACATCAGAGAGGGGAGTGACAAGTGCCTTTCTATCACAGTAAATGTATCTAATCCTCAGCTTGTCTCAAGGCACTGTTGCAGGTGTTGGAGATAAAAGTCCCTCGTCCTTTAGACCTTAGAATCTAAAGCGTGGGGGGGTAGGCAATAAACCATAAGTACATATATGACATGTCAGGTGCCAAGTATGTGCTCTGATGGGAAATCAAGCAGAGCCAGGGCTTTAGAGAAATGGGAAGATTGTTCTATGTAAGGCTGTTCCTTGGTGTTAAACTAACCAATGACATGTGTAAAAGTGGATGGTTTCTTGTTTGTTGTGGTTGGTTGGTTGGTTGGTTGGCTAACTGGTTCCATGTTGACTAAGTCATTCTCTCCCTCCATTGTCTGGGAGACACAGCCCATGTAGCATGGGAAATGGTATCCAGACCTGGAGATTTAGCTGGAACCTGATGGCTAGCACCTGAGCAGGCAGGAAGGAGCATAGGTAATAGTGGGAAAAGGCTGGAGTTGACAAAGCTGCATACATGGCGGGTGGCATGAGCAGGCAGGGTTAGGCTGCAACAAGGACTGTCTGCTCTTGGTTCTGCATGAGGCTGTTTGCTCATTTTTGGGTAGTCCCGACTCCCGGAAGGAAATCTGCGACAGAATAGTGAAATCGGTGCAGTGATGGTGAGA